TATAAGAGAGACAAAAATGTCGTGTAAACTGTATCGTTTCAACGGCTATATTGACCCTATACAAACATATTTGCTCTTTTATACTACTAGTGCCATCTATACATTCACTAGTGCCATCTATACGTTCACTAGGAACCTAAGAAAAGCTTACCCAAACTTAACTGTGTGTAACTAATCCCTTTATTATTCTCAGAAGGATCCCTTCGCAAACGCTTCACATCTTACCGAAAGGTACGACGAATTTCCAAAAATGACACTTAAGAATTTTTCTTCGTTATAGACATTTTGTATCTTATTTCTAAGACCTTAAAGTATCATTTAAGCAAAAAAAAAAGATTTTTTGAAAATTCTACAGTGGCCTTACCCCTTTACAATGTGACCATTGTATAACGCAAGTGTTACATAGCGGTTACATTCTTAAGTAAAAAATTATAAATAATATATCTATATTATATGTTTCATTGTATATGTTACAGTTTAGCTTATATTTATTCATTAAAACATATTTCAAAATATTGCAATCGCCAATAAGCCTTCTGATTATAATCCGTTTTTTTTTAAATACTTACTGATATAAGTTAAACTTATGAGCTTGAGAGCATAAAACATTTTCTTAAAATTACAAAATAGTTATTCTACTGCAATATTTCTATTTTTTAAATAGTTACGTATACGTAAGTTACATGCGCTAATATAAATATATCATAAAATAGCTGCGCAAAGATACATATATGAAAACATTTTAAGAATACATTAAAAAACATTACAAAACATTATATCGAAATTATGAGCGCATATGTACATGAAAATTGTAAGTAAATTAAAGTTGCGATAGTCAAATACTTGGGAGTTGCCAATATGAATTTTCTGGATTATAAGACAAAACTTCTAAAAATCCTGGAAAAACTATACACAGGAAAATAAGCAATGTCACATTAAATTGGAAGGAGATTGTAAAGTGAAACATTATAAGATATTATACACTAATATATTCAAACATTATAAGCATATATATG